CCAGCTAGATTCTCAATTCTCTATTATTTTTCTCTCACCTTTCATTTTCCTGTTTATTATTTATTTTTTTCACTTTTTCTCTTCGTAGTCACTCCAGCATGCGTGCCCGGAGGGACTGTTGAGTCAACAGTGGTTAGATAAATCCTGGCTGCCGGGGATTTAGGGTACACACTGATGGATCAGTGTGTGCCACCCATGAGGTTTAAATTTTAACCGTGCAACCTGCCTGCTCTTGTCCGAGCCAGGCCGGGGATATTATTTGCCCATCTAGACTTTCCACCCCCCTCTTGGTAGTACGTGTGTTCTATGTATAGGCCAGGTAGCTTTTGCCTTCATAGGTTACCATGTTCTACATAGTAAACTGGCAGTTCCAATTGTGGGACCGCGTCAGTATAATATATCCTCCTCCTCCTCCTCCTCCAGCAAGGTGCACACTACCTTCCCCCTCGCAAAGCTTGTCTACACTACTCGGATTGCGGCGGGGCAGCCTTTATCATCAACACCGAAGTGAGTGGCCAGATGGTGCGAGCTGGTTGGGAGTGTTGGCTCATGCAGAGATAAAGGATAAAAGTGATGGACAATCGGCAATACTGCTGTTTTAGGGAAAATCCGGATAAATTTGGTTTCAGCCTTGGTCGCGGACGAGTGGGGCACGAGTGGAAACTAGCAAGATGTCCACACAACTCACTCACGAGGAACTCATCCCAGTGAGTGGCCAGCGGGTGCAAATACCTCAGGCCCATGGTCCTCTACTTATCCAATTTTCCTCGACGCGTCGAGCACGCGTGGAAAGTGCACTGAAAACGCGTGGAAGTGCAGGTCCACGCGTGCCGACGCGTGCCGACGCATCTCAACTCGTGATCACTCACTTACACTGGGGTTTTGTCCAGTAAAGGCTGGTATACCTACGACCAGAATTTTGACATCACTAGTCAGCAATTCTGAAACCTTCTGAAACCCACAGATGTGATGGCATTTTTCTGTTCAGCTCCAACTATGCACGGTTGTGGATAAGGAAGCTGTTAAACACCTCCAGGATCTCACGCCGGGTTCCATAACCAGGGAGAATCCCGCGGATCGTGATCTGCGCGAGAAAGTACATCAAAAAATGACAGATGGAGCATTTTTTTATGTAAATTCAATGTAAATTGTGGCAGACCGCTAGCGGTCGCCTCTCGGCAATGCGGCCTGAGCTCAGCTCATCTCCCTCCCATCACATTTCGAATCAAGTTATGATGTCGGCGTTTCGCAACCCTCGATTGTACTCCTCAGCTCTATCCAACCCCTCAACGACAGCGATGCTCCAAGCCAACGCTACAATCCTTTTCGCCACTTTTGCCCTGCTTATCGGCGTAGTACGCCTCATGCGCCGCAAAGCTACAGTACCCCGGGTGGGGAGAGCTGGGCCTCTGGGATATGTCTGGACAGTCCTGCGCTCCGTTATGGACAGTGACGGTCTTGTCAAGGAGGGATGGTCCAAGTTTGGGGGCAGGCCCTTCATTCTTCCGTCGCTCACTGGAGAGTGGATTGTCTTAGGCCCCGAAAACGTGGAATTATTTCGCAAATCGGACGACACTGTGGTACGTTGCGCAGAACTACACTGACTGGACGTCGTGGCATTAAAACATTTCTCCAGTTCAATGCCCCCTTGCGAAACATACAGCTGTTTCTACCAGAAATCATGTTCGGCGAAGTCATCATGACAAACCAGTATCACATCGGCCCTGTCCTCAAAACTGACCTTACACGGGCGTTAAAGACACTTGTCCCAGAAATACTCGAAGAAATTCGGCTGGCCGTACCCGAACATCTTCCAATCACCGACTCGACAAACTCTATCACGGTCCCCGTATTTGGAACTTTTGTGCACCTTGTATCACGCGTAAGCAACCGCGCCATGATTGGGGTTCCGGGCTGTCGCAACGATGAGTTCCTCAAGAAACAAGTTACGGTTGCCGAACAAACCATAGCCATGGCCCAGGTGCTCAATTGGTTCCCCTCCTTTGCTCGCGGGTACGACATCTCTCCATTCGCGTAGGCACATGGTTTAAATCGTGGCACAGTTCAGTGTGGAAGCTATTTTCGGTGCTTGCGGGTAGCAAGGACGATGCTATCCGACTTCTCAGTCCGTATCTTCAGTCACGGGTAGAATATGCGCAGCAGGTAAGCCCTTAAGTCCCCCTCTACTTTCCAGTGCTTACGGAAATTAAGGACAATCCGAGCACTATAACCGACCTCCTCCTTCGCTACGCGCCTGAAGAGGACTTCAATGACGTCCGGAGGCTCGCAGTTCGTGTGGTATTCTTGAACATGGCCGCAATACACACCACGTTCGTCCTTCCCAAGGCCCCCACGATAAGTAGGAAACTCATTCGCAGCCTGACAGATCAATTTTCACCACGCACGCCTTGTTCGAATTGGCGAGAATGCCGCCCTCGCACATCGAGCAAATCCGCGCGGAGATATTTGCTGCGATCGAGTCGGAGAATGGCGTTTGCAACAAGGCCGCAGTGGGAAAATTCTATATGCTTGATTCGCTACTCAAAGAAGTCGGGCGTTTCCATTCTCTCTTCTCCGGTATGCATCTCCAAACTCTCGGCAATCTCGCTGATGCAGTGTATTCAGTTGGCTCGTCGCGGCTCACGCTTCGCGAAGCTGTGGTAGCGGACGGAATTGTGATTCCAGAAGGCAGCGTCGTAGCTTTAGCACCCCAGCCCCTGCACTTCAACCCCCAAGTCTACCCCGACCCGCACACCTTCGATGCCTTTCGTTTCTCAAAACTGCGCACCGGGGACAACTTCATGCCTGAGGCCCAACAATCTTTTACGAATTTGAGCAACGACTACATCGTCTTCGGTGTCGGGAGACATTCTTGTCCCGGCAGATTCCTGTAATTTTAATTTTTTGGTGCGACCCGACCTGTTCGCTAATTCTCGAATCACCCCCTAGCGCCGCCCTTAAAATTAAGCTCATCCTGGCGGAGGTTCTGCTTAACTACGACCTCTCCTTCCCCCCAGGCGCCACCACGACTCCAAAGCCGTTCGCATTCAACAATTTCACTGTTCCAAATCAGTCGGCGAAGCTAGTTTTCACCAGGCGCGAAATTTAGACAGTTAATTTAGAAGTGGATACCAATGTAAAACAAGCGAATGATCCGCGGTCTATTTTAATTTGAAAGACGTCGAGGGCGATGTCCACCAAATGATTGATGCCATCCACAATATCCTAGTGAACGCCAGATAGCATGCTAAATCGCACACCGGATATTATTTTACCGGTGCAGCCGATGCAACGCGCGAATTGTCTAGACAAAACGGTGATTTACATAAACAGATTGAACTCTTCAGATCATCCATTGCTCAAATGTTCAGAAAGTTGAGCGGCATCGAGACACAGCACGATTGTACGGAATATCCATCTTCTGTAAATGTTTTAAACTCCGTTTTTGTCTGTTTGAACCGTGTGAAAATCTCGGCATATGCCGAAGGTGTAGTTAACATTTTAATACACACCCGTTCGTAGCAGAGGCGTTTAACAGCTGTTCCAACGCTTTAAAAGAGAGCTTTCGTGAGTAGGTGGCAATCCAGTGCGGTCACCCTTGTACGTATGGTTGTCCTTCGACAAGCCTTGTTCTTAGTCGAGGCAACAAGAACATCTATTGTCGAGTAGTATTTAACCACTATGACAATTGTGGATACCCATTGTCTTGGAACTGCCCTCATTGCTCGATTAGGGCATTTATTGTGTTTCTAGAGTATAAGTACAGCCTGCTGCGACAAGCAAAACGAGCACCCATCGCCAATATCGAGTTACCAGGCTAAGGATCTCTGAACCTGGGGCGTGCACAGCGCAGAGCTTCAAATAATGACCGGTCGCTTGATGCGGTTCGTGCCACATTTTAGCCCGTTTTTCTACACTGATGCTCGTCATCTCCGAAGGCTGCTCTTGGAACACCCCAGCTTAGGCATCACTCGCGCGAAAGCATTCGTCCTGATCCAATTGGGAAAATACCCGGTGAGGAAGATGGGCCGGGGTTTTAGGTTCGGCGTGGAACATTCGGTTACATCAGACGAGAAGGCCGATGTAAATCAATTAATTAGGGAATACATCGCTGAGATGCCTCGGACCAGAGCCTGGCGCAATGATATCGATGTATCAGCGACCTCTAATCGCCGGAGGGCAGTAATGTATCAAAACTGCTAACTTAGAGGTCGGTCTGATATATCATCGCAGTGCCTCAAATAAATAATGACCGCGCTAGGATTCGAACACAAAACCTCCTTGCCTGGTCCGGGTACTAGCAGTTTCATGGGGCTGAATACTGGCATAGACTCGGAACCAGCTCTATGTTGAGTCACAAATCCTAGGAGTTGTACGCAAGTTGTTTTAAGTGAATCGGAGTAAAATTGAGGGAGAAAAAAAAATACGCGTGGTGTTACTCGAACATAGAGTAACCCGGGGCGCATTTTTTTTCCTCCTTCAATTTTGGTCTGTTTGACCTCAAATAAATTGTATAGGGCTTCTACATATCACGACTCTTATTGTTACTCAACGTAGGGCTGGTTCCGAGTCTAATACTGGCAGTGATATGTAGTCCAAACAATAATCCCCTGTTATCTAAGTTCTTTAGTGTAATGCTTCTTGTCTCCTTCTCAGTTTTCTCTTTATGCAGTGGAGGTCTGTTGTTTGAATCCCACTCCAGCCAAATTATTGTATTACAGCTGCCTCTCCAAGCTGGGCTGTGATACATACATCAGGGATGCCTCTAAGCTAGCGGTTTCGATATATCACCGCGCTCCGCTCGTTAGAGGACATCTGATATATCAAATCCCCAGATACGCCTGTGGGTGCTTCGGCGACCTCGATACATCAATGGCTCAAAAGACTCTTCGTCCGAGCTCACCAGACCAAGCCCCGGGCCACCGTCGTGCCCGAATACCATCGACGCGGACAGGTTCTTATTACATGCACATACCCCATAATTTGTGTTGCAGAATATGTACCTGATGGCACAAGGTGTGCGTCTGCTACTCTTTTCCAACCTCGACAGGGAGGTTAAACAGAAGGCCCCCGTTCGATTCGGGGTCGGGTGATGTGGTATAGCTCAGATTTTTTCTTCACCTTTTCCCTAAGTCTCTTGGACTCGATTTTCAGGACGAAAAATACTTGCTTCAGTATCTACTACAGGTAGGAACGAGGTGAGGAACGCTTTGCGCGGTGTGTGGGTATTTTTAGTTCAGCTTGACATTGGTGACGCCAACTTAGCCAAAGTCGAGATCTCGGAGAGTCAAGGTGTCTGTTACTCCGAGATTGGTAGATGCAGAGGAAGCGCCCGGTGGCACAAGGTGTACATCTGCTACACTTAGGGAGTAGATAAGACATTTATGCAGAGGGTCCCCGTTCGATTCGGGGTCGGGTGATTAACCATTCCTCCCCCCCCTTCGCCCTAGAGCGTGCAAGCGGTGATTCAATTCTGATACTTTGTGAAGTCGAGATCTCGGAGTCAACTTGAAGGTAGTTTGAGATTGGTGGGTGCAGAGCAAGCACCTGATGGCACAAGGTGTGTATCTGCTACATTTAAAGACGCGATCGAAGCCATTTATGCAGAAGGGCCCTGTTCAATTCGGGGTCGGGTGATATTATATTATTTTGGTAGCGTTCCTTTATTCAGGTTCCCTCGTTGGGTTCTCTTTTGCTTTCATTGGGTCACCGTGACCTCTCTCACCGCGGACTTCAAACCCATGATTGCAGCATAATACGGAAGAGAAGACTGGGTCTGGGTCTGGGGATTTGTGGATTTGGGCCGGAGGTGATTTGATTTGATTTTAAGTTAAAGTAAAGCCAACTTAGATCTCGGAAGAGTGTCCTAATCTGAGATTGGGGATGCAGAATAAGCACCTGATGGCCCAAGGTGTGCATCTGCTACTCTTGTATACCACGCAATATCGTTTAGCAGAAGGTCCCCGTTCGATTCGGGGTCGGGTGATGTGTTTGTGCCGCTTTTTTTTTTCCTCTTCACCTTCCTCTTCGCCTTTCTATTCGTCTCTTGGGCTTTGTTTTCAGGACGCATTGCTTCAGTATTTACGATAACTAGGAACGAGGTCAGGAACGCTTGCGCAGTGTGTGAGTATTTTTAGTTCAGCCAAGTTCAGCTTGACATTGATGAAGCTAGCCAGCTTGGGATCTCGGAGAGTCAAGGTGTCTGTTACTCCGAGATTGGTGGATGCAGAGGAAGTGCCCGGTGGCACAAGGTGTACATCTGCTACGCTTGGGGAATAGCTCAGACATTTATGCAGAGGGTCCCCGTTCGATTCGGGGTCGGGTGATTAACCATTAACCTTTCTTTTTCAGTTTCAGTTTCTCTCCCTCGTTTTTTCTTTTGCTTGCAGCTTTGCAGTGGGAACTCGCTTTCGCTGGGGATTTAAACCCCAGGATTCTAATATTTAGGACGAAGAGGCTCATACTGGGTCTGTGGAACTGTGGAGTTCACTGAGTTGTGGTGGGTTGATTGACTTGATTTTCAAGGCCAGATCGGGATCTCGGAAGGATGTCTTAGTCTGAGATTGGGGATGGAGAACAAGTACCCGATGGCACAAGGTGTGCATCTGCTACTCTTGTATACCATGCAATACCATTTAGCAGAAAGGCCCCGTTCGATTCGGGGTCGGGTGATGGTCTTGTCACATTCATTTTTTCAGTTTCCCTCATAGGTTTTTCGTTTGCTTTCAGTGGGACCGTTTTCGCTGGAAAACCGACCCAACGATTCGAGTATATTTAGGATGAGCAAAGAGGCTACCCAGTGGTGATTTGTGGGTGCACTGGCAGTTTACTTGGATTTTAAATTTTTATTATTATCAAGTTCAAGTTCACTTGAGCTCTCGAGATCTCGAAGGTGTCTTAGTCTGAGATCGGAGGTGTAAGGAAGGCACCCGGTGGCACAAGGTGTGCGTCTGCTACTTTTCAAAAGCTTCCATCAGGTCTAGCAGAAGGTCCCCGTTCGATTCGGGACCGGGTGATATGCACTGAATTTTGTCCTTTTTGTGCGGCTTCAGGCTTCAGGCTTTTGTCGCCTCTGGGCTCAGCATTCTCACTCTGTTTCTTCGAGGTTTGTTTTTCCACTTCGGGGTTTATTAGATTTTTCACTTTGTTCGAGGGTTATTTTCACTGTTCGAGGGTTATTTCCGCTCGTGGGTTACAGTACGGAGAGGGTACGGAGCTGTGTGTATATATGTGTTATAATGAGTTTGAGTACGTGCTACGTGGGAGCTGGGGGGGCGGTGAATGGAAGTTGGCGAAGAAAGGCAGGATAAAATTGAGAGTTGAGAGATAAGAGGGGGATTGATTGTAATTGTATTTGTAGCGACGGACGGATGTGCGTTGAGGTGCTCGTCGGACAGCGGAGTCATGTGTTGGGCGTAGCAACAAAGCGACAGCGACGGCGCCGGTGCGTATGACGTCGAGCGAGTTATTTAACGGAGGAATTAGGACGCCCGTGGGTAGAGTGGTCAGGCTTATCAGCCTAATGATAATAAATAGCTGAGCGCGTTACTTATAGATAGACGAGTCCGAGATTTTACGGGGGGATTTGTATCAGCTCGGAGAGTCGCGCGTGTGAGATGTGGAATTAAGGAGGGGGCTCAGTTGAGGGTTGGCATCTAACCGCTGGAGACATCAATTAATGAGGGCAGAGACAAGATGACGGTGGGTGGAGTCATTGGACTGAATCATGTGTAGATAGGTGTCAAGCAAGCGAAGGGCTGAGTGCAAGATGCACAAGATAGGTTGGATTCAAGTTGAGTCTCAAAAACGTCAATTAAACGAGGGCAGAGATATAGAGGGAGCCCAGAGATGATATACGCAGACTACCGGGACCGAGGGGTATAAATCACATCAGCTAGCGCGATAAAATAAGAGTTTTAGCGAAGAGGGTTAGATGCTTCATTAGTGGCGCCGGGAGCAACCGGATGTGGAATTTCCCTCGGGAGAGCGAACAGCGAACAGCGAGCAGGGCAGCGAGCAGGGGCGAGGCTGGCAGATGGATGATGGGCAAGCGAATCCAGGGGTGCCCGACGAGGCCAGAGCGGTTGGAAGAGCAAGTGAAGAAGAACGAGAGGGCGGGAACCAGTCTAGTCGCCGATGCATATCTCTCCCTTCCGCGACATATTGCATGTTCGACGCGCAGATGAGTACCCCGCCAGCAGCAGCAACAACAGAACCAAGAAAGACACAGGATAAATGCATTGCAAGGGAATCTGCGGGACTTGTATGGGTAAAGCGAGGAGCAGGCGTCCGCCACGTGTGGCCTGCTCCTTAAACCGCGTTGCAACAGCAAGTCAACCGAACTTGGAATCCACTTGACGCCCCTTGCCTCGCTGCTTGCCTCCTGCCCTCATGGCGTCTACAGCCCGCGTCCGCCGCAAGCCCGCCCCCGTCGTCGACCCCGACGACGCCGCCTTCCTCGCCGCCGTCGCGGACGACGACGGCGAGCGCATCGCGGCGCTGCCCCCGCGCCATTCGTTCGCGCTGTACGCCGCCCCGCCGCTGGACCCCACGCCCCCCGCCTACTCGCCCGCCCCGTCCCCGTCCCCGACGTCGAGCGCACACCCGCACTACACCCGCCGCCGCGCGCAGTCCTCCGCCCCGCCGACGCCCGCGACGCCGCCGCCGACGCCGACGCGCACGCGCCTCGCGCGCCTCCTCCTCCCGCACCATGCCCACCCCCCGTCGTCACCCACCCGCGAGCGCGTGAGGAAGCACACCATCTCCGCGCCCGCGCCAGCTGTTTTCCCGTCTGGACTCCTCCCACCCGGCCTCGCTGCCCTCTCGCTCCCGCCGGGGCGGCCCATCGCGCTGCGCCCCCTCGAGCTCGATGTCGAGGTGGAGGTTCCCCCGCCCGTGGAAGGGTGTAGCTCGGCCTCAAGCGCCTCGTCGCGCGCGTCGGGCGAGACGGACGCGACGTCCCCGCCCATGTCCCCTTCCTCGCCCCGCGGGAAGCTCTTCAAGCCCGCGCCTGCGCTTAAGACTGCCGCGGCGAAGACTGGCGCCGCCAAACCCCTGCCCCTCCCCCCGCTCGCGCCCCCCACGCGTGCCGCCCTCGCGCGCGCGGCACGCCTCCCGCTCGTCCAGCCCAGCGGCGTGCGCGTCCCGTTTGGCGTGTTATTAGGCATGAGTGATGCCTCTCTTGCCTCTATGACGGGTGGCGCTATGGACGCCGACGTCGACGCCGAGGCGGGCGGCGCGTGCGTTCGTGTAGGTACAAGCGAGGAAGCTAACAAGCGCCGGCGCACGCTCGTCGTCTTCCTGCGCCACTTCTGGTGCCCGCTCTGCCAGGACTACGTCGTCGCGCTCGCAAGCGCAGTCAGGGCTGCGTGTGCGGGCGCCGATTCTTATTCTACTGCTGAGGATGCTGCGGGTCCGGAGGGCGCTACGATTTCTACCTCTCGTACCTTGCCGTCTGTTCCTACTCCTACATCTACGTCCGGCGCCACCTCCCCCACTTCTCCCCCACCCTCGACTTCTATCTCGAGCGCTGCCTCCCCTACCCCACCCTCGATGCCCATCCCGACCTCCGGGGCCTCCTCGGTTCCCACTTCGACCTCTACCCCCCCCGCCGCCGCCGACCCTCCTGCCAGCGACCCCGCCTCGCTGGTCGAACCACGTGCAGAGACGCAGACGCAGGCAGAGACGCCGCGCTGCCCCGCGTGTGCCGCGCACGGGAGCGGGAGCGTCACGCTCGCGTACCTCGAGAGTCTGTCTGCCGATGTTGGGTCTGCTGGGTCTGCGTCTGCGCTCGGGGACGAAGAAGAACCTGTGCGTCTTTTGTTTCACTTCTTAGCGTGAGTGGGTGTTGATTTCGCGCGTATCTAGGGCGCCGAACGAACACAAGCCGAACGAACACAAGACGAAGAACACGAAGAGCACGAAGAAGAAGAAGAAGAACACGCCAAGTTCAAAGACTGGGCCGCGCGCGCGTGCGGCGCGTTTGGGTGCCCTGTTGCTGTGCGTATTTTTTTTTTTTCGTTCTTTTCTTTTCTTTTCTTTTCTTTTCTTTTCCTTTCTTCTCAGCATGGGGTGTATTGGTGCTGATGCGTTT